CTTACTTACTTACTTACTTACTTACTTACTTACTTACTTACTTACTTACTTACTTACTTACTTACTTACTTACTTACTTACTTACTTCTTACTTACTTACTTACTTACTTACTTACTTACTTACTTACTTACTTACTACTTACTTACTTACTTACTTACTTACTTACTTACTTACTTACTTACTTACTTACTTACTTCTTACTTACTTACTCTTGAGAATTCAACTCTAGGACTTAATTTGACTTAGCCCTACAATTGTTAACCAATAGAAATTGTATTTTATTGCAATTCTCATCACAAAATTTATTAGCATTCTTCTTTAGTTCTACTATCTTTCTCATACTTTAAGAAGTGCTGTTATCACTTATCACTTACTTACACTTACTTACTTACTTACTTACTTACTTACTTACTTACTTACTTACTTACTTACTTACTTACTTACTTACTTACTTACTTACTTACTTACTTACTTACTTACTTACTTACTTACTTACTTACTTACTTACTTACTTACTTACTTACTTACTTACTCTTACTTACTTACTTACTTACTTACTTACTTACTTACTTACTTACTTACTTACTTACTTACTTACTTCTTACTTACTTACTTACTACTTACTTACTTACTTACTTACTCTTACTTACTTACTTACTTACTACTTACTTCTACTTACTTACTTACTTACTTACTTACTTACTTACTTACTTACTTACTTACTATTACTTACTTACTTACTTACTTACTTACTTCTTACTTACTTACTTACTTACTTACTTACTTACTTACTTACTTTACACTTACTTACTTACTTACTTACTTACTTACTTACTACTTACTTACTTACTTACTTACTTACTTACTTACTTACTTACTTACTTACTTACTTACTTACTTACTTACTTACTTATTACTTACTTACTATACGTACTTACTTACTTACTTACTTACTTACTTACTTACTTACTTACTTACTACTTACTTACTTACTTACTTACTTACTTACTTACTTACTTACTACTTACCTTACTTACTTACTTACTTACTTACTTACTTACTTACTTACTTACTTACTTCTTACTTACTTACTTACTACTTACTTACTTACTTACTTACTTACTTACTTACTTACTTACTTACTTACTACTTACTTACTTACTACTTACTTACTTACTTACTACTTACTTACTTACTCTACTTACTTACCTTACTTACTTACTTACTTACTTACTTACTTACTTACTTACTTACTTACTTACTTACTTACTTACTACTTACTACTTACTTACTTACTTACTTACTTACTTACTTACTTACTTACTTACTTACTTACTTACTTACCTCTTGAGAATTCACATCTTGAGGACTTAATTTGAACTTAGCCCTACAATTGTTAACCAAATAGAAAATTGTATTTTATTGTCAATTCTCATCACAAATATTATTAGCAATTCTTCTTTAGTTCCTATTATCTTTCTCATATAATCTTTAAAGAAGTGCTGTTATCACTTTCAAACTTTCCCACTTTCAATAAATGTTCATCATCTCACGTTCTTCATCTCTCAATCTAATGTTCTACCATCTACATATGTTTCCACAAATATTAAAAAATATAATCTTATTTAACTTTTCTCTTACAGTATCGTCCCAGTCAGTGGTCTTGGAGGCGTGGCGAAGCTCGTTATACAGCCGCAACGATACACATGTAGAAAATTGTATAATTTTAATTTTAAAGAAACTTTCTTCGCCTTTGACTTTTTTTAACTTGTTACCAAACCTCTATAATTTGTGTGTATTTTTTATTATTTGTAAAATCTTTTATAAATTCTTTACACTCCTAAGATTTCAAAAACATCGACATAATCTGTCTATATCTTTTACTCTATTATTACTATTGTGTTAAAACTTTTTAAATTTATAAAAAAAAAAACAAAAATTGTGTATGTATTTTCGTTCTTTTAGTGAAATTTTTGTATAATTTTTAAAGCAACAAAACATAAACTATTTTTATAACATAATTTTAACATTTATTAAGAAACAAAAAAGAAGAAAAAAAAAAAGATTAGAAAAACAGCAAAAGACACAGTAAAATTAAATAATTTTGTTTTTAACTACTATTCTTTCTATAAATCAAATTATTTGTTTTGTATTGTATTATTTTTTGTGTGTAGGATTTTTGTTTTAATAACTTTTATTTTTAATTTTAAAAATAACAATTCTTGGACTTTTAATTTAAAAAAAAAACTATATTTTTATTAATATGTGTGTAAAAGAGAAAAACAAAATGAAATAAAATTTTCTTTGTTTTTATTTTGGTTACTTTCTTTGATTATATGTGCAAAATATACATATATTTGAAAAGAAAAGGAAATATTTTTTAGTTAAAAATATTGTGATTTTTTTATGTTTAATATTAAATATTTGTGTGTGTTTATTTTTTTTAATTTGTCTCATATTTTGTATCTGTACATTAAAAAAAAATTATAATAAAAATTAAAATAAATAAAACAATTTATTATTTTTCTTAAGTATGAATAACTATTGGAAGCAAGCTTTAAGTGTTAAGAATATTGTTTTCCTGGAATAGAACGGAGTTGGAAGTTTCAATTACTTTAAAGTTCCACGTACATAATAAAAAAACACTAATTAAAATCATATGAATCAATCATCATCAATTCCAATCTTTATTTAACGCAATTATTTTGATTTGGTTTAAATGCATAGAAATGTCAACTGTAGAAAGTATTATATACTTTTTGTGTGACTTTTGACGAGAAGGGGATCGTAATTCTATTGGGAACATGTGCTAATCTATTAGTTTGGATAATACAGGTTGTTGTAACAGTTCGACTGTGGCCAATAATTCTTTTCTGGGCCTTCCGTAGCAATTGCTTCTTCAACTGTCGTACGAACGATACGCTTATTCGGTTTTCTGAGCTCGTTAAATTGTACTTTATAGGTCCTTTCCAATATGTCTAATAAGTAATATGTATTTAATTATTTTGTCTTAATTTTGAATCCTTTTCACTGCCGATCATACTAGGTTAGGTTAGGTTGATAGGAGGATGTATACTACATCAAATCCGAAGAAATAGGTGTATTTCTACTTCCACTATCGGGCCTGTTGTGCGCTCCAATTCATGAAAAAAAAATTGTTCACTGAATGTATTATTTTTCCATGTTCAGAAACTCAGTTTCCTGGACGTAATTCCTAAGAATCTTCCAATCAGTGTTGGTTAAGAATGTTATTTCCGGAATAACATCACTTACAAGATACTTGGATCTAACTTCGACGAATGCCTGACAGTGGCAAATAAAGTGCTCCAGAGTTTCACTGTCCTCTCCACATGCTCTACATTTGTCTGAATCCGCACGTCCAAGTTTGTATAGATGTGCACGCAATCCTGTGTGTCCACTCAGAATACGTACCATCATACTAACCTCAGACTTGCTCATTTTGAGGAGATTTCTCGTCTTGATCTCATCAGGGTCACCCCATAGAATCTTTGTGGTTCTACCCACCGTTTCATTATTCCAAGAGGCCTTATGGGATTCTCTCATCCATATTTTTAATTCAGCTTTTGTTGCGTCGAATGGTTTTGCGTTTGTCAGGTTAACTACATCGAGCTCCCTTCCCTTTAAAGCTATTACATTCGCCCTTTCGTTGCCGACTACTCCCGAGTGGCCTGGTACCCATATGATGTAAACCTTACCTCTGGGAGAGTATTCAGTTAAAGCCTTCTTACAATCCAATGATCCAGATGATTATCTAGTATGTTGACTTTATTATTGACCTGTGTATGGGCTATTCTGTGGACTAGTCTAGTCAAAGTATAAGTCTGTTGACTTATTTATTGTCTAGTCTGTTGTCAGTTCTATTAACAAGTTATGAACTAATCTAGGGACCTGTCTACCGACAAGTATATCACTAGTCTTTGGATTAGTATATTAGATAATCTTTTGACTAATTTATCCAATAGTCTAGTCTGTTGACTTATTTTGTTGATTAGCTTAATGAGTAGTCTATTGACTGTTTTATTAACTAGTTATGAAGCTAGGGTCCTGTCTTCTGAATATTATGTGACTAGTCTATGGATGTTGTTGTTGTTGTTGTAACAGCTTAAAATATACAATTTTTAAATCGGGGGTTCTGTATTTAGGTCCAAGCCAAGAAATTGGGCTACTTCAATAGGGTTAGTCCATAAATCCATTGGGCTAAGTGAAGTAGGGTGGGCTGGACAGTTGAATATGTGGAGGGTATCATGGGGACCCTGGGCGACCTCCAAAAACGACATTCATTCAACCTGAAACCGCGGTATTGATGGCGTCTCGTTCAGAGCTGCTGTATACGAATTCCGATCTAAGGGATCCTAAACATAACTTCGTATGCTCTCTTCGTATACACGAAGGTCCTTCATGACATGCCTCGGGGGAGCATCCAACTATGTGATGTTAAAGTTGGGATGACTCCTCCCGTTACATCCCAGGAGGAACTGTTTAGTCAGCATGACGTTATGTTCCTTGACTGGGAGGACCTTCGTTTCCTCGTGTAGACTATGGACAACTACTAGTCTATGGAATTATCTATTTGCTAGTGTATTAAAAGGTCTATGAATTAGTCTAATGAATAGTATGTTAACTAGATGCAAAGATGGTCATAATACAATTGGGAATGTGATAATCTATCAGTTTGTGTAATACAGGTTGTTGTAACATTTCGACTGTGACCCAAAATTCTTATTCCTTTCAAATCAGGTCAAGTTCAATCATCCATGGCGAATTGTCTGCCCTCTTTTAGAAGAGGGCAGTCACATAAAAAGTATTGTACCGATTGTTTTTATTTCTCATCTAACTTATGCAATCAGAAAGTGGCCAGTAAGTATGCCGATATAAAGCTTTAATGAATTTCTTTCAAACGCTCGAAGAGTCAAGGTCCTTTTCAGTGAAAAACAATATTCTGTAAGTGGTGATAGTGGACCACATGTGTTTCCACATGAAATTGCTTTTGCGAAATTGTTTTTCTTTTTCTTCCCAAATCTGGTACGATTATTCTTACGTGACGAATTGTTGAGACAGTTCAGATCAGATGAAAGAGGCATGTACAAAGATATCTTAGTCTGAAATCTTGTGGAATAAGGCAATTACATTAAAAGTATTGTACCGATTGTTCTTTCTACTCTTCCAAAGAATTTTTGCAATCATACCAATCATAAATTATGCCGTAAGTATGCCGATAGGAAACCTTAACGAATTTCTATCAAAGCCCAAGAGAATTAATGTTCTTCTTCTGTTTAGAGCATTTTGGATATTCTGTATGTGGTGATAGTGGACTTCTGTTCTTATTTTTCGGTATCCCATTCGTCTACCCTTTTGCGAAACCGTTTTTCTTTTTCCTCCCAAATCTGTTACGATGTTTTTTGAGACAGTTCAGATCATGAAAGAGGCTTATACAAAGTTATCTTAGTTTGTGCTCTTGTGGAACCGGGCAATTACATAAGAAGTAATATACCAATTATTCTTTATTCTCTTCTCCAAGAAGAATTCATTAAATGCTTATTCGTAGCCAATTTCATTTGTGTCCTGGAACTCAAATCAAGGAAACAGTTTTATATTTGGGACATTTTATTATTAGAAGATATTGAAGTCTCAAGTTATGTAGCCCCTAATTCTTTCTGAATTTTATATAAAATATAACAAAAGTTGTTCATTCCATTCTAAGCTAAGCTAAAAGTGAAAAGAAGTTTTTAAAACTTTAATGTTTTTTGACTTATTTATGTTGAAAATATTTTACCAGCACCGTATCAAATAGGTACTAATGAAAAAAGTTTACACTTCAATGTAATGCAAAAACTTTCCAAGATTAATTATGGTTTATTTCATTATGAAAATTTTGTTTTATTTATGTTATTTTTTTTTGGCAATTTGTTGATTTTTAAAAATTTAATATAAATAAAAAAGTATATCATTATAAATAAAGACTTTGGTCCAATATTTTAATACATAAATATACAAACTGCAAACAAAAAGGTAAAAAAATTATTTATAAGTAATTTGATGAATAAATTATTGATGAATAATAAGTAATTTAGTTAAGCATGACCTAAGAAAAACATGGTTGCATACATATTATTATTACTTTTGCTCATAATTAATAATATACATACTAAACACAAGAAATTAGAATTAAATAAGTATATATTGTAATAAAAAAGTAACAAAAAATCCTAATTAGTTGTTTTATTAAAATAAGCGTTCAGACAAGGTTTGTTAACTAAAAACTGCATTAGCCCTAAACTAGTTCGTATTAATAACTGTGATGAGGTTCTAACAAAATGTTCATAGCGGTGACAGTTTAAGTTAATATCACCCATACAATTTTTTATTTAAAAATGTAAATTTAACAAAAGTTAGATTTTAAACTTTGATCTTAAAAATCCTGTTTCAAAATTCAATTAAAACAAAGTATTTAATTTTTTAGAATAAATTGTTATTTCTTCTTTTTTATTTATTATTACAGTATAATTAATATTTTGATAAATTAACAAACATTTTATGCAAATATAAATGTAAAATTACAAAAAAAATAAAACAATTCAAATTGTATTTAAAAAAAAAAATCAACTCCTACTTTTTATACATGAAAGGGAAGAAAAGAGCAGGGGTAACAAAATGTTTATTTTTTTACAAATTAATAAAATATACAATATAAATTAAAAACTATCATTTTAACTGGCCCCTGGCCATGTTTTCATTTTAAAAACACAATGTATTTGTTTGAAACTTGTAGGAGTAGTATTTAGATGCAAAATATTTAAATTAAAAAAAAAAAAAAAAATAATACACAATATGTCAGAATATGAAGCAACACAATTAAATTATAAAATGTTTGATCAACATAAAGCATTATTGGAAATTAACAAAATTTTAAATGTTACATTTTCTCAAATTGCTGAATTGTTTTTATTTATCTCTCAATAATCTATAGTTCGAAATTCATGCAAATAATCTAAGAGTTTATTCGTAATTAATTACTGTCCAGAGCCAATACATTCTTTTAAATAATGCCTTTAAAAAGATGTTCGAATCTATTAAATTTACACACAAAGTTTGTAAATGAAATAGTTATCTCCACATTTACACCATTGACCTTATGATCTAGTTAAGAAGGATTCTTGTTTGTGGACTAATTCGATGCTATATAATTATTTTCAAATATTTCCAATTCATTTTGTATGTAATTGGCTTTGTTGCGTAATAATTTCAATTGTTTTTGATTCGCTTCCAAAATGGCCAATTGACCTTCTAGGGTTTTTAACTCTTCATTCATGTCGGTGGTGGCCGTATCAACGGTACGACACAGGCGAGCAAATGTGCTAGATAATTCCCTAAAAAAGAAATATTAAATAATTAATAAACAATTTTAACTGAAAATAATAAAATGAAAACTAACTGTTGCACTTGATGACTGCAATTGGCTGATGTTAAATCCACAATCATTTTCAATTTCTTGGTAGCATGACGCACATACTGAGCCTTAAAAGCTCTTTCCTTGGCCGAATTGGTCCAGGAAAGACGTTCATACAAGTAAATACAACCATACAAAGCACCAACACCCACTAACACACGCCAGCCAATAGTTTTCAACATCTAAGGAACAAAGAAAATATAAATATAAATTAATTTATATGTTCAACATTTGCCTGCATCTTAAACTTACAATGCCAGCCACTATAAGACCACCCACGGTGCCTTGAGATCCAATTGAGGTCAATGCAAAACGTGATATTATCGATAATTGTTCTTGGGTAATATTACCCACTGGTGTGGGTATAAGACACAATGGTGTGTCACCAACTGGTGAAATTGGTGATATAGGATTTTGCTAAAAACAATCAATTAATATTAATTTAAAGTATTTCTTTTATTGTACTTAGATATCAAAACATACCACAACACTGCCTTGACGATTCATTATGGCTGGTTGTTTCTTATAGTTATTGCGCTCTCTTACTTTACCAGTAAAACGTTGTATCATGGCTGTTATGCCCCAGGAGAATTTAAATTCTAAATCCTCTTGAAAATCTGCACATAAATTCTGACAATTCAATGAATACAACATTTCGAAAGGCTGGGAACGAGCAACAATTTTAGTGGGAGGGATTAGTTTTTCATTGGGTAGTAAAGCATGCATACGTTCTGGAAGTAGAAAAAAAGGAATAGTGCAACGTTTAATGTTTGTTTTAAATTTAAACTGAATATCCACCATTTTTGAAAATTCTCTATTTTTATAAAAAAAATCGAAATTCTCTATTTTTATAGACAAATTTCGAAATTCTCTATTTTTATAGACAAATTTCGAAATTCTCTAGTTTTATAGACAATTTTCGAAATTCTCTATTTTTATAGACAAATTTCGAAATTCTCTATTTTTATAGACAAATTTGGAAATTCTCTATTTTTATAGACAAATTTCGAAATTCTCTATTTTTATAGACAAATTTCGAAATTCTCTATTTTTAAAGACAAATTTCGAAATTCTCTACTTTTATAGACAAATTTCGAAATTCTTTATTTTTATAGACAAATTTCGAAATTCTCTATTTTTATAGACAAATTTCGAAATTCTCTATTTTTATAGACAAATTTCGAAATTCTCTATTTTTATAGACAAATTTCGAAATTCTCTATTTTTATAGACAAATTTCGAAATTCTTTATTTTTATAGACAAATTTCGAAATTCTTTATTTTTATAGACAAATTTCGAAATTCTCTATTTTTATAGATAAATTTCGAAATTCTCTATTTTTATAGACATATTTCGAAATTCTCTATTTTTATAGACAAATTTCGAAATTCTCTATTTCTATAGAAAATTTTCGAAATTCTCTATTTCTATAGAAAATTTTCGAAATTCTTTATTTCTATAGAAAATTTTTGAAATTCTCTATTTCTATAGAAAATTTTCGAAATTCTCTAGTTCTATAGAAAATTTTCGAAATTCTCTATTTCTATAGAAAATTTTCGAAATTCTCTATTTCTATAGAAAATTTTCGAAATTCTCTATTTCTATGGAAAATTTTCGAAATTCTCTATTTCTATAGAAAAATTTTCGAAATTCTCTATTTCTATAGAAAATTTTCGAAATTCTCTATTTCTATAGAAAATTTTCGAAATTCTCTTTCTATAGAAAATGTTTGAAATTCTCTATTTCTATAGAAAATTTTCGAAATTCTCTATTTTTATAGAAAATTTGCGAAATCTCTATTTTTATAAAATATTTTCGAAATTCTCATTTTTATAAAACATTTTCGAAAATCGTTTATTTTTATAAAAACTTTTCGAAACCTAAATAAATGTATATTTCTGTCAATGTACTTACCCGTCATTTCTCTTTGTGCTGCCTCCACATTCATCGCTAAAGCCATTGACAATCTAGCCCGCAGATTCGAACCCAAACCTGCCTCAACATGACCATTCAATTCTTTTTTGTAGATATTCAAAACCAAAGGCTCCGGATGGAAGGGCATATTAAATTCATCAATCAAAACACCCAAACGCCAAATTTCCTCATTCAAAGCCTTTGACACCTTCTGTTCAACCTCTTCGACCATATTGTGTATTTTCAATTTCATTTCACGTGTAACATTCATCATTTCCGTTTCGGTACCCTGAATACGTTCCGTGAGTAAAGTCTTTTGATCCACTTTCAAATTACGGAATATGGTAATGCGTTCGAAAATATTGTCCAGCATAGAACGCATATCTCCGGAAAGGGTTTTTCCACGAGAACTGTGTTTTTCGAATTTAGTTTGAACGGCACTCTTTGAAATGCACTCTTCGAATTTGCGCTCAAAATCTTGAAATTCAAAATAACGCATTTGGAAGCCCTCAGCCAGGGCACCTTGACTGGGAGAATTGCCTTTAGCTTCCTCAATGCGGGCCTGTAGAGCTTCACGTGCTGAAACGAAGAATACACGTTCGGCTGCCTCCTTTTCGTTGGTGATTTTCAACTCTTTAGTGAGAAAATCAATACAACGTTCTGTATGCTGGATTTTAACCTATAAAGATATTAAGGGAAGTCGTTTTATATTTATTTTTATATAAAATTTTATAAAGGACAAATAAAGCCTGCAAGCTAACTATAGGTGTTAAGTAATGCTAAGCTAAGCTAGCCAAAAGGTGTTTGTTTTTACCTTTTCAAGCTCCTTGGGTGAATTATTTTTTATTTGTATAATTTTTTTTTTTCAGAAAATAACAAAGTACAAACAAATGTTTACAAATTAAAAACTAAAAATCACAAATCACTACAAATATTAAACAGAAATAACACCTACCGATTCTTGAGATTCTGGCTCATGGGCCGAAGCATCCCAACGATTATTGAGTATGAAAATATTGGGTTTTGAAAGTTTTTGTGATACTGTATGAAAGAATTGCTTTTCAGCTCTGGTCATGGTGGACTCAGCATTTAAGACCAACACAAAGACATCGGCATTCAAACAGTGATTATCAATCCAATCATCTAGATTAGCAGAAACATCTACGCCAGGAGAATCGACAAAGACGACATCATCACGCAAAAGACTGCAACGTTCGCGGGGCCAGAAAATGCGCACCAAGGAACTTTCGGAGAGTTTTTCTTGACACAAAGCATTGGCCAGTTGTTTAATATTCTAAATTATTTACAAATATATTTTAGTTATTGGAATATTATAAGAATGTGAGAGAAGTACTTACCACCACATTAAGTTTTTCATCAGAACCTTCTTTTATTAAATAAGCTTCGTGACTGTCACTGCCTTCTACTTGGCAAAAGCAATTTGTTGTATGACCAATGCCACTGGGTAAAATTTTCTCACGTAACATGGCATTAATTACGGAACTTTTGCCATTTGAGGTACGACCAAAGAAGGCTACTTTCATGTGATCGCGAGCCAATACCTCGCGTATACCAGATACTTTAAGCACATAACTTTCAAACAGTTCACGTTCAGCTTTATCGACAATATCGGCTTCAGCATGTAGGGCTTTAATAAAATATAAAGAAATTTAGAATATTTCTAAATAAAAAACAAATTGATTTCGTTTTTATATAGTTACCATTAATAAATTGTGTTGTTTCATTGACATATTCCTCGATTTCAACGTAAATATCATTGATCTTCTTTTTGGCTCTAACAAAGACCTGTAAGGGTGATTTATCAGCATTGATGTGCATTGTGCGATTTTCGGACATCAACGCAGTCGGATCGTAATTTAATGATTTATTGTGTGTATTGGAAGAAGTGTTACCGGCGTTGCCGCCATTACCAGTGACCACAGAAAGTGTACGATTCAAATAGGCCGCCATTATTTACGAAAATAAATGGTTGTTTTTTAATATGCAAAAGAAATTATCTGGCTTTTTTGTTTTGTTTGCTTACAAATATGATTAAATGAATAAAATATATTTTATAGTTCTTTGACTTAAAACTTAAAACAAACAAACAAACAAACAAAGATAAATTATAAACCAAAAAAGCTCTATATGTATGTAAATAAATATGTACGATCGCGTTTATGTAGACCAAATATTGTTCTATTGAAGCGCGTTTTCTAAATTTTTAATTTGTATTGTTTATGTTTTTTTTTTCTCGTAATTTCAAAACAAACTGACTGACATACCAGGCAAAGTAGTGAATTTGAAAAAGTTAATTAAAACAAATTCCACAAATTAAATAAGAAAACAAAATGATTTTAAAGTATTTTTGAGTGCAGAATCTAATGACAAGCTAAACGGGGGGTTCTTCAAATCTATATTTAATTTAAATACTTTTGTAGCTAAGCTGATAACACCAAATCAATGTAAAGTCTGATTATAGTTGATTTTTATTTTGATGGGGTTGGGTAAATAAAACTAAAGTTCTATTAAAACTGAAAAAAGATAGAAAAAAAAAAGAAAAATAAATTAAAATAATATAAACAATAAAAAATAATATAAAAGATAATAAAGAAAAAGATTAGCAGCTAAGTTAAGTGAAGTGATATTTGTAATGTAAGAACAAATAATAAAAATCAAAACAAATAACCACTACATACTAACAAATTTAAATAGTATTACAATTAAACAAGTCTGACATTGAAGATGTTTAGAAAATATATAAATTTTCGTTTTAAAAATTTTAGCTTTGTGGCTAAAATATAAGCATACAGCCCATTGAGGTACACTATTAAGATCGTAAAGTGTTGCTGAAGTAAGAATGATATAGAATTTAAATTTGAATTATTAAAGAACACAATACTCCACGTGCATAAATAATGGTTTGAGGGAAAATTTTAAATTATTTTCATAATAAACATTTGCAAATAGTTTAAGGAAAAATTTTAGCCATTATTTATATTAGTGTTATCTTTGTTTGCACACTTCAAAAACAATTTTTTTTATTAGTCATTGGAAATACTGAATATCTACTAGATTTTCAATTAATTATTTTATACGGTTTTTTGAAGTATGACCTTAAATATAATTTAATCTAATTTTGCATAAGAACTATAAAATGTTCACCCGAATAGTATGACAATCCAACTTTTACACATTATCCCTGTCACCACACAACTGTCTGCGATGTGTGTTATATGGAATCTTGTTGGAATATATATCCTTGTTACTACAAAACAAGTATAAAATCTTCCTATAGAGATATACATATATTCTAGGATGAAACCTACAAATATTCTAAATATTCTATGAAGAATGTAGTGATGTCCTCACCAAGATGTCTGAAGTATAGAGAGAAACTGCTTCATAAGCAGTTCTCTTGGGTCCATTTAAGTTACTCCAGTTGTGTTACCCTAGTGGTCACAGGAGTGTATTCTGATATCACTCTCTGCTTCCAGAACTAAACCAACCGGTTTCATAGGATAATCTCCAGACCTATCACAGAAAGCTCCTTCATGCCTGACAAAAAGGGAACACCTAAGAGATGTTCCCTGCTTTCAGAGAAAGTAGGGCAACAGGAAAGTGGATGCGAAATCGTCTCATCTTTTTCTTCATTATGACAATTTTCGTTATCCAAAGCCAAGCCTCCTGGCATGGGTGCCTATGACACAGTGTCCTATAATTAGTATCATATAGAGTGCATATAGACCTCCAGATTTTACAAGTGATTTCACTGAACCACCTTATTTGGAATATCCATACAGTTAATTTAAAACAAGTGTCTTACAATTCGTAAGAGAGATTCCAGTAAAGGCGTCGATATCTTTCTCATCGCATCCAGATTTTACAAGTGATTTCACTGAACCACCTTATTTGGAATTTCCCATACAGTTAATTTAAAACAAGTGTCTTACAATTCGTAAATGAGATTCCAGTAAAGGTGTCGATTTCTTTCTCATCGCATTCATTTAACTAGATGTGTCATGGCATTGTATAACCTTATGTTTGTTATTTTTTAGCTGATCTACGAAAGCTTCAGACATATTAGCAATATTTTACATATAATAACGATGAGCATAAACTTGCGAACTTTTGTGTAACTTTTATCAGATAATATGAAGGTTCTGTGATTAGATAGACTGTAAAGTTTACAGTCTATCTATTACAGTCTATTACAGAGTTTACAGTGTAAACTCTGTAATTTTTTAAAGCGGTAATAGGTGTTGTAATATAGTTCGAAGGTGTAGGGCCTATGAAGAAAGTTAGAGAAGCTAAGAATCAGTGATTTATGCGGACACAACATGGTGCAATCCAAACCAATTACAGTAACCTTTGTACGTTATTTATCTACAATTGAGTATATCATTTATCTTATAGCACAAGATGGTGCAAAAAGGCTCTATATTCAAATCATACTTTAGAGCGCATCAACAACACAGTTGGCCGTAGAATGATTGTTGAATGTCTCGACATCCAGTTTAATGATACCTAGAATTCTTCTATTAATGTTATCTCAAAGCTGTTTCCATTTTCTTAAGACCGATATTATAGCCTGAAGGGGCCTGCAACCATTTGAGTATAAACGTCAGGTATTTCGTGCTATCCGAGTGTGAGCATTCTATACAACTCCATGTATTTCATGGTATTTTTAGTTAAATTCATTTGCTTCTGTACTACTAAAAGATGCACATAGAATTCATTTATTCAAACTACTGCAATCAAACATCAACACTTGACAATTAGAAAGAACTTTAACAAAAGCTTTAAAAAACACGTGAAACGAAGTATGTCTTAAAAAAATAATGATCAATGAATTTGTTTAAACCAAAAAAGTTATTAGAAATAAAAATTGCCATATTTGTATATTTTTTAAAATGTATACTAAATAAAAATATGTAAATATTAAAGGAGGAAAATAATGAAAATATTAAAACGTAAAAACTCTTAATGATCCCCTCATACAATTCAGACCAAAGTAAAAGTGTTTGTGCATGTGTATGCCCCATTCGTACCTCATATAGAATTTTAAATTTGCTAAATTGCAAATAAACACAGAATATTGTTTAAATGATTCAAATTATAATCATCATATTGCGCACAAATAAAAAAACAAGAAAATGTATTCTTCATACACACACAGCCACACCAACAAACAAAAATAATGATAATAGACGGATAGAAACACTAATTATGACGTTGACACCATTCCTGCTAATAAAGGACAAAACAATGCAATTTGCCTATTGGGAATTGAAATATTAATAAAATATTTCTTGAAAATATTATGTATTTTTTCTGCCAGCCGCTGTCTAAGTTTAATTTTCATATTTTTTTCTCGTTCTGCAGAAACTTAACTAACCTGATTGTTTGATTCTTCGGTCATTGTATTTTTGTTAGTATTTTTTAAGTTTTTCAGATACTCACTGCTGTTGCTGGCTTCCAAACCAAGTTGAAATGGCAACAGCACTTAAATTTCTATGATAATTGTTTATTTTTAGGAATTATATTTAATTATTTATATTATTTTTGTTAGAAAATTTGTTTTTCTTAAATGATGTAACACGAAAACTTTCCGACGAAACCCATTGACATTTGATTTGACAGCGCAACTGTCAGTTTGTTCGTAGATGGGTTGTATTTTTGCGTAGTATGTTAAGGGTGGATGTAAATGTATGAAATCTTTTGTTTTCTAATATAGTAGTTTAAATTTGAAAAATCGGGCCTTATTTCATTTATTTCAGAATAAGTTGAATACTATGTTCTGACGGATTGATTGTTATGTTTTTTATTATAGATTCAGCTCAAATATATTTATTTTTGTCTTAGTACCAAAAAGTACTTCACATCGTAAAGCAAATGGAATTCATTATTTATAACTTGAAAATTTTTAAGGTACGTTCACACTAGGGATGCCAAACGGGAATTCCAGATTCCCGAAAATCCCGGGATTTTCGGGATTTGAAAGTACCGAAAACCGGGATTTTAAAAAATGAAATACCGGGAAATTTGGGGATTTTAAAATCCCGAATTTTTAAGTGTTTTCCGCTATTTTATACATTATAAACTATTAAATAAGAGAATTTTAAAAGTTTTTGGACTTAAGATGACTATACTAACTTACAAGCTGAAATATCAAAAATAAAAAGGGCAACAAATAGGCATAGATACTATCGGATATATAAAAATAACAAGTAAGAAATTATTGGCGGGCGAGGACGACCATATAACCCCCTGCACCAGTTATGAGAGTAAAATGTGATTTAGTTTTCATAATAAATCATTTAAGTTGATTTATACCTCGCCTCCGATATATTTTAGCAATTTATTGTTAAAAAACTATTTTCTGAAATATGCTTGGGGGAAGCCTTCACATGAGTCGATCCTCATAAAATTTGGAGGAAGAATTTACGGTTACATAAAATTTATTTATGCTGAATTTCATTACGGCACTTCTCTTTTTAAGCGAAATGTGGACACTAGGCTAGGATGAGAAGAAGCCCGATAACTTCAAAATTCATCAGGGTATTTAAGGACAGTATAAAACAAAAGCAATACTCCGAAGATACCCAATATACCTTCCCCATTAAGGTGGTATAGGGTATAAAAAGGGCAATAATCGGATATCTAATGGGTGTATTAGAATCTATAATGGATGTCAATAAGATGGCGAGATGATAATTCCCTTATTTGGGTTAGAGAACACGGCGAAAGCTGGAATTACTATGGAATTACTATTTCTCTACTGACCATTAAAAACCATATATCCGATATTCATCTCAAGACGAATGGTCTCATGAGTACATAGGTGCAGTACAGGAGCTCTATGTAGCCTCGTATGGATCCTCATTACGCATACTATCTAAATATTAGGTTTCATCAAATTGTAAATTTAGAAACCATTGTAAATTTGGATATCATGGGTATTATTTTATATTTATAAGATATAAGAAGCTTTTGCTCAAAAGTAGGTTTTTATTCTACTATTCAGTACCTGGGATGGAAAGATTTTTATTATAAGTACTTTGAATTAATTTGTTTTTCTTTTCACAAAATGCTTATTGGAAAGTAAACACCTTCTAAGTGTATTCATATTGCAATATGAAATAGAAAATGTTATTTTTGTCGGTGAATTATTAAGATTTTTTTTGAATTTTTTTATATTTTTCGGGATTTTGAAATCCCGAAAATCCCGGGATCCCGATATCGGGATTCCGGGATTTATTTAAAAATCCCGAATCCCGGGATTTCTAAATATCAGTCCCGATTGGCATCCCTAGTTCACACCTATTAAATATTTCACGAATATGACGTAACCCCTAAGAATCTACACTTTTATTTCCTTTAAATGTATATTTATTTATATGTGAGATCAACAAATATTTAAAAAAGTAGTGGTTACATCTTTTTTGTCAAATATTTGTTAGGTGTTAAAGTACCTTTACCGCTAAAACTGTACTTTTCTAAATAAACGAAGACTCAGCCGCAAAATGATTAATTTATGAAAAATGGTTTCCTAAGCATTCGTAATATTTTATTTCTGCATAACTGAAAACCCTAATGTATAAATATATTTGAATTTCAGCTATACTATAGTATAGTTTTAGGAGTCCGCATAAAAATTATCTGGAATGTTTAAATAAGCGGATTTGAAGACACATTTACAAATTGAGCTTTGTATGAAAAACGAATACATATCGTTTATTTATTAATATACTGGCATAACTCAAAATATAAAGGTGACCTCTAAATAGAAGTTGCTGATGTTTCGGCCAAAAATTAAAATTTAGTTCATTACCATTTCTCCAATTTGTGTTTTGTGAGCTGTATTAAAGTAAACAAGTAAGAGTTCTATAGTCGGGTGTGCCGAAATGAAAAATTATAGAAAAAAGAAAAAATACCTTTTGAAGAACGAAAAAGTAACAAAAGGTCCCCTTTTAGGGTTCTCCCTTAATCCGGGCTCCACATGCTTAGTTTTATGTTGTAGAAAATTCAAAAAGTATTTTTTTAAGAACGAAATAGTACCAAAGAGTTTTATAGGTTCTCCCTTAATCCGGGCATCTCTGCACACATAACATACACACAAACAAATGTCAGCTGTATGACGCTCTACATGCTTAATTTCATGTTTCTAGGTTCAATATTATAGAAAAAAAGTTCCTTTTGAAGAACGAAAAAGTAAGAAAACGTCCCCTTTTATTGGTTTTCACTTAAGCCCACTTCACACGAGCACACAAGTAATATGATCTGTCAGAATTTTGTGTAGAAGAGATCGGATGGGATCGTCTAAACGCAATATGTAATAAAACCATCACAAATTGAGAGAAAATACAGATGGAAAATTTGACAGTCGTATGGTTCTCTTCATTTTTTTAAATGATTCAAAAAACAAGCAAATCGCATTAGATTTTATGTAAACACATACAAAAAAAGTGAAACAACTGTTTCCATCTTACTTTGTTATTGTTTTATACCAATCGTGTAAACACAAAAAATATAAATCATACGACTTTTATTCTCTTTTTTGTCATACGGATGGAATTTCATGTTACTTTTTCATTAGACTTGTCGTACGTAAAGTGTGATCGTCTGAAGGGCCCTTTACTCCGTGCTCTTCATGCTTAATTTCATGTTTTAGGTTCAATATTAAAGAAAATTCAAAATGTACTTTTCGAAGAACGAAAAAGTAGCAAAAAGTCCCCTTTTATAGTTGGTCCCTTAATCCCGGCTTTTATGTTTCTAGGTTTAATATTGTAGAAAATTCAAAAAGTACTTTTTGAAGAATGAAAAAGTACCAAAAAGTCCTTTTATAAGTCCTCACTTACTCCGGGCTTGTATCTCTGCACACATGTTACACATAACATACACACAAACAAATGTCAGGACGCAGAAATATAACTGTATTACCTATCCACAAACAAATTGAACTGTTTTACCACCCTCAAACAAATATAAAGGGCCTTCAGACGATCACACTTTACGTACGACAAGTCTAATGAAAAAGTAAAATGAAATTCCATCCGTATGACAAAATAGAGAATAAAAGTCATGTGATTTATACTTTTTGTGTTTACACGATTGGTATAAAACAATAACAAAGATGGAAACAGCTGTTTCACTTTTTTTCGTATGTGTTTACATAAAAATACATCCCTGATCTAAAGGGACTTGCTTGTTTTTTGAATAATTTCAAAAAATGAAAAGAGCCATACGACTGTCAAATTTTATATCCGTATTTTTTCTCAATGTGTGATGATTTCGTTACATACTCCGTTCTCTTCTACACAAAATTTCGACAGATAATATTACTTGTGTGCTCGTGTGAAGGGGGCTTAAGCAGTATTACCTAAATATAACTTCTTCATCTTGTTGTTTTAATGTTTTTATTTCTTATTTGTTAAATACAATTTCAGAGGTAGTCTCAGATTTTTGCTCATATCTCGAAGGTCTTCTAAAAATTGATTTTAACAAACATACAGACAGATAGACAAATATATGAGTATTTCTATAAATATCGACATATTATGACCTATATGTCCATTAACAGTATGTACTGCTAATTTTTGTAATCATCGACTTTAATTTGACCCTACCCCTCATACAAAGTAATTTTTCACCAAATTACTTAAAAGGCCATAACTCACTTATAAACACTATTATTGTGTTAAAATTAGGCAGACGTATTTCAAGAGGATCGGTCCATATTTAACCCTAGTTCTCATATAACACCACTTTTTTATTTTTATCAATAAATATATTATTTTAAAAAATAAAAAATTGCTCAAAACATGGCTTTATTTTGAACTTTTTATCATTTTAATAGTGTTTATTTTACGAAAATGTTCGAAATAACGGTAGTTTATATAACATATATTAAGAGGTTGGCAACACCAGCATATATTAATTAATGTCATGCGCATACATTTTTCCAAGTGAGAACAGGATGTCAATACAAAATCCACAGTTCATTTGCTTTAGCTCTGGTGGTAGGAAATCAATTGAAATTGTTGAATAGATAAATACGGTAATCAAGATTTTTCCTTTCATTCGTAAAGATATCATAAAGAAAATGTTTTAAAAACTATTATAAACCAAATAATTTATAAAATTATATAAATAAACTTAACCAGAAAGTATTAAACATTTAAAAACGGTTAAAATATGTTCAAATAGTCTTAAACAAAACATTAAATCCTAGAAAAGAAAAGCTAAAATTCTATTAGAGTTCAAATTTTTTTTTCTACGCCAGTGAAAAGTATACAAGAAAAATTATGTCGGCAAAGGTGAGAAGCCACTAAATAGATGTTGAAAGAAAATGTGAATGAACATTTTAAACAATATAAAAAAGAAATAAATTCGTATTTATTAAACAAAATTTAAATTAAGCTGTTAAATAATAATAAATAATTCAAATATTTCTATCAACATATGTTTAAATTTTGTGTAAATAACAATTCTTAAGTAAATAGTACTTGAAATAGGAAAATATCCAATTTGATGAGAGTATCTGTGTGAGAGTGGTGTTTGTATGTGTGTGTGTATAAGCGTTTGTGTATATTTGCATATTCGAATTGAATTTGAGATAAGAGATTAATGCCAAAATGTATCTTGTTCTTTTTCAAATTATCTTTCTCCCTTTTTATTGTGTTTTCATATTGTCTTTTTTTGGAAATTGTTCCATATTTTATTGAGTAAGATTTTTGCTCAGTCTTTTTAATTTAAGAAAAAGTTTTTTTTTTTAATATTGAGAGAAAATACACATAAATATCATGCAACAACAACATCAGCACAATACACCTAAAATACAACAACATTATTTGTTTACCTCTAAACACACTTACACAAAATCATTTAAACTAAGTAGAGTACGGAGTGTACAAAACATTCAAATTTAACGTACTCGAGAAATTTGTTTTCTTTTTAATTTGTTTATATTTTTTCACATGTGCTATGACATCTGTTGGGTGTGCTAATCATGGCCCGACAATACAAAAATTTTTATTTAAAATATAAAAAATAATAATTACATACTAACGCACTTATCAAATACTGTAAAAACATAAAACGATCAAGATAATCGGATAAACATGTTGATGATAGATCCCATCTTGGTGTATTGCAATCGGACTAGACTAGACTAGAGGTGCTGCCAGTATCTCTAGTCTGCCGGGACTATAAACTGGTGATGCCACTTCACACCTCGGCTTGTCCTTGGTATGATTTGACATAGGGTCTAACCAGAGAACCACAACCAAATCTGGTACTACGGGTGGCCAGTTGCCCGCAGGACTATGTCCTGGCTGGTCAGTTGGTTGAGATTCCTTCGGGATCCACGTAGTGGCTATGGTTAAAACCCAAATTCTCGGGAAGAGTAAGTAGCGGTTAAAGGACTGATGTAAGGTAAAGTCAATATTTCGGGATAAGTTCGGTGCTGTTGCCGAAACAACAGATACCCCACAGAGGAGTGGCTGTAGGACTAAGCATTGGAAATGTGTTAGTGTTAATTGTATATGGTACGGGATGAATGTGGAGTATGCGGGCCTCACCCGCCCGTTTACCTAGAATAAGTGTGTCGTATGTTTTTCTCTTATGAATGTGTCGGATGAATAAGAAGTGCGCTGGATTGTATGATGATGGCTTGTCCAGATATGTTCAGAGTAAACTCTGTTCATATTAGAATTACCACAGTGTGAGTAAGAATAAAGTCTCGGCTTATTTGATGGATTCGTACTTCGGTCTACCGGTTATGTCTCTAGGTGCTGTTGCCGAATCAACGGAGGCCATCCCATCTGCGTGGTTGTAAACGGAAATGATGTTTTACATCTCGGAAGTTAAGCAACGGGGCAGCAATGGTCAGAGATTAGATAGCTCAAGTACTCGAGCAAAGTGCTTGTACATGGACCGGCTTTATCCATGTAAAAAAATTGCCACCGGATTTCTTCATTGAAGATTGAATGGGCGGCGGTGACGTCGCAAAGCTCACCCAGTGGTTGAAAAAGACCACAGTGAGATAGGTCAACACGGCAGGTACTCACGTAAAGCACTTCGACATTTTTTGTCTCCTAGATGAGTGTACATTCAGTGTTCTTGAGATTATCAATCTAATGCTGATATACCGTAGCGTTCTCATTCTTGTTCGGGTTCCAATCGGTTTTTCTGTGCGTTTATCTGCTTACGACAATGGTAATATGCTTAAGGTGAGTACCCTCCTAATCTGACGGTGTCCTATTGCATCATTTGAGTGGACAAATGACGGCCTACCACTCGGCCCTGTGCGACTTCAATGAATAACATTCAGGTGGGTATTTTCGCACAGCCATGTCCAAAAAGTGGATTCATGCACTAGCACTTAACTCAAGTACTCGAGCTATCAAATCTCTTACCATAGTTACGGAATATACATATGTACATGAGACTAATCCCTATGTATTTGCCGACAATGTTAAAAGCAATCACTAGTTTAGAGCCTCTAGATGGGGCGTTCTTAACATTAAGTGAACAGACAACAGGTATCTAACGCCAGGAGGGGAAATACCCTTTAATAATATGCAAATAATGCATTCACTATCATGTAAACGCTCATCATGGTACATTCCTCAATCACATAAATACCGGGTAACCACACTACTGAGATGGGTCTATTGCTTTGGTAACAGCATCTAGGGTCTTATTGATAAGAGTTATTCCCTTTGTCATTAGTACTTACTGCGCCAAGCCAAGCATGGTTACAGTAAACTTTAAACTTACCAAACCAGAATGAAAATCACCGAAACCACAAATATTAAAGGAACATCCAGCAATTCCTATCATATAAAGACCGCGTAACCACACTTCTAAGATGGCTCTATTCCTTCGGCAACAGCATCTAGGTTCTTATTGACAAGAGTTATTCTCTTTGCCATTAGGACTTACTGTGCCAAGCCAAGCATGGTTAGAGTAAACTCGAAAGCTACCAAACAAAAAATAAAAATCATAGACACCACAACCAGTATTTCCATCATTTCATCAGACTTCAAACTTTATCACCCAATATTTTCCATCGCATGCAACAGTTATTCAGACTTCACCCAACTATTATCAGCTAATTTCCAACATTTTATTTCACAGTCTACCCAAAGTCCGAACAAATTATAATTTTACCGCGCATCAGTCTTTTAAATAACCTTCCCTTCCCACGATTTTGGGTATAAACCACAGCCACTAAGCGTATTCCGAAGGCACCTCAAACAATGACCCGAACAGAAGAAATCCTGCGTGCAACTGGCCCCCGAACGACAAGATTATGTGACTCTCTGTTTAGACCCTGAATCCCAGGAAGATTACCCAAGATAATATGATGAACCTGTTATAGACTATTGTAGTAATTAGTAATTATTCATACTTTCGTTTCTCAGAAGTATACATATCTACACTTTAAGCTCTTTTCCTTGGCAGTAAAAGGAGCTGGATCTCATGCATTAAACGTCCTAATATGTAGAAAAGAACGTTTTTCGTTTCAGCGACTAGTAAGCTATTATCGTCGATCTCCTAAAGGTTTAATGCTATCATACTCTCCGGATTATACCTTTTCGAACATATGAATATCTAACCCAGGGTGTATGTCTGGTTGTTGTGGTCTCAGCAGCTCCAGTGGCAATTAGACTTATCGCCCTAAAAGATTTTTTGCACTCTAGATCATGAACATAGGTAGTCGGTCAATTTCGGCTATAGATCTAATTATATATATCGATGTATAGTGTGATATAGACGTTAAATAAAATGATAATTTGTAAATTCTCAACAGTTTGACCCTTTGTGTTGCAAAATGGTTGTAAATTTTTCTCCCCCCTACAATGATAAGTTTGGCCACCACGTTACTACAATGTAAATATAACACTATTCGTATGTATATGTTTGTTTGTATTTGTTTTTGTTTTGGGGGTGGGTGGTTTGTTTATATGGGGGTCGAATAAATTTTCTCCTCTTTTTTGTTGTTGTCTTATTTTAGTTTTTTGTTGTTGTTCTTCTACCTTTCCCGGTCTGTCGAGTGCGAAAACATTTTATCTGTGATCTCGCACTGGTATTGTTTTGTATTCTATTCTATTATACTCCAACAACGTATTTCTACATACAGACTATGTATTTTGTTGATATATATTTTATTTTTACATTTTCTTTTTCTTTTTTTTTTGCATAATATCTTATGGAACTGTTTGACTATTCAGTATTTCTCTGGCCTTTGAACGTTGAAAAAGTGTTTATTTGTTTGTGTATTTTCATTACAATATTTATATAGAAATAAAACGTTTAATACGACGACAGTGTATGAGAAAGTTCATCGTGTGTCATTTATTTAGTTGAAATGAAATATATACTTTACTTCAAGTATAATTTTGCATATAAACATACATTTTAACTAAAGTGGATTTTTATTCAATTTTCATATAATTAATTTGAATTTATTTGCGTTGTATTAACTCGCCATACTGTCAATCAGTCTGGTCTATCTTGACATTTGTGTGGTGTTTTGTTGCTGTTTGGGAACGGAATAAGACAATATGTTTGTTTACAAGTTCCTTCGACGTCAAAATAGTGTATGTTTTTCCAAATAAATAGTACAATTTTAAATATTTAAGTAAAATAAATAAGTGTCTGCATTTAGAAAGCTCGTTTGATGATCAAGATATTTTTTAAAAATTTAACCTCGAGATTTTCGTAAATATAGTTAGTGATTTGGAAAACCTAGTGCAAGTTGCAGTACTAACGGTAAAAAGTTTCATTCAAAAGTTATTGTGTATAATTATTTAAAGAAATGTTTATGATTAATTGAAAATTTATATTATTTTTAAAACATACATACTATATAGTATATACACTGTCGCTATTAATCATAATAACCTTATCTGTACACTTTGATTTATTTGCTAACATTGAAATATATTTTATCGTTAGAATAATGTTATTGTTATTTTTGGACTTATAAATGTATATTTTAATTCATATAACGTTATTTGTTTACCGATAAATGTTCTTTTATTATAAACATTAATTAAACTAATTATTTCTGTATACAAAATTTTTTTTGAAATATTATTTAATTATTGCTATTATTCGATTTTGTGGATATATAATTATTATATACATATTTAGTGGAAAATTGTGTTAGAGACTCATTGGATTCTTTATCGTTTAGTACCCCGTAAGAATGCCTATAAGACGCCTTAACGGGTGTCAATTTATGGCCAAGATAATAGAGATATTGTTCCGTAAAAGAAAGGACCAGAAAATTTTGGATGTACCGGGGGTAATAGTAAAATCACGGAACAGTAATGATAATTCATAAGCCAATATCATTATTATGTTTATTTAGTTCTTCTGGTCAAATTGTTAAAACCTTTCCAACGACCATCATCTGTATTCATCTTGGATTCCACAATGATTAATAGATTTTCCTACAGCTCTGCTGTTTCTTAAACTAGAAAGCCTCACTTAAAGCTCGAGAAAGAAAGCTCATTGTGTTCTATAAGCCGTCCAACTAGTGAATTCGGATTAGTTTTTCTTTATTGACCTTAATTTGTAACCGAATGGCTCGAACCAGTGTTCTTGGATAAAAGCTATTTGTATAACTTTTTCTTTCGGAATGCCTTAGTTCCATCGTATAGTTTGGATTTCTAATCCAATTTTCATTATTCTGAAACTTAATAGGTGTTAGTGTGGCTTCATCTGTCAAAATTAGGGTAGATATCGACTTCCTGTCGGTGGTTTTTTTCGATTCTGTTCAGAAGGACGATTTCTATGCTTGCGTTATCCCAAAGTTTGCCAAATCCTCGAAGGTATCCAATAACACTGACGTCCTAGCGTACCATCGAGCTTTAGATGATTTCAAACGCCTATACTCGGAAGTGTGTGTCTTACTTTTCCGTATTATACTAGGTCGTGTTGCAGCACATTTAACAGTCACTTGTTGGGTTCTTAGGTGGGTATCGGCCCACCTTTTTGCATAGCCCCTAAACATTTTATGGGCTGTGCACTTTTGACCCCAGCCCCTATATAAGGAACTTACTGAAAAAAGCCTTTATATCGATTAAATTCAACATAAACTATTTTATATGAAATAAAGTGTCTCTAACTTCATGATCGACCCATAATGGACCCCACCCACATATAATGCATATAACAGAAAATCGATTTGTTAAAAATTAATCGTCCAAAAATGATTGTATACGATAAAAATCAACAACAATTATTAGTTTAAAGATCGGTCCTGTTCATATTAATATCGATATATGATAATATAAGTCCATAAATAAAAAAAAAATGTTTGATGGTGGGTAGATAGGATTCGGCATAGCTATTATATAAGTTAATTGTGCTTAATGCCCTTGTCGCTCCGCATTGAGTCCGTGACGACTTGATCTTTACAACCATAGCATTCAGTGCTTCGTACTCATAAATCTATATACGATAGGCATGATAGTACCTCATTCTTATATCCCTGGAAGTCAAGGTTGGCGTGTAATCGAGCTCAACGTCTTAATATAACAGGTTTTTAGTTTAACTTTCTGTTCAAGCTTTTCCTTTGGAGGTTAATAGGCTTTCAATCCCTGATTATAATTTTCCTCATTCATCGTACTAAATGTTTAATTGTTTTATACCAGGGAGGAAGGCGGAGTCATCGTCTGATTCTAAGCTGTTATGTATAGTTAGTTTAGGGATCCCGGTAGCAGTGTCGACTACTAAATCGGGAAGGCTTGTCTAGTAGACGTTCCCAAATAAAATATTTCTAAAATAGGGCAACACTAGTTCAGAATTTCAACATTTTTAAGATATTTTACTACAAAACTTATACATATGTATGTTAGTAATGCTATCTTCCACATCATATGATATTCTACCTTTTTTTAACCCTCTTTCAGATGTTGTGATAAATTTGCATTTGTAATTTAATAAAAAAAATTAATAAAATTATTTTGTTACTTATTTTATTTTCATTATTTTTCTTTTAGATGACCCGTTATAAACAGACAGAGTTCTCGGAAGAAGACAGTAGTTCGATTGGTGGCGTGCAGTTGAATGAGCCCAGCAGTAGTACGGGAATGCAGATACGTTATCATACTGCTAGGGTAAGATGTGAATAATAATAACAGAAAAAAAACAATAATGAATAATGTCTTTTATATGTAAATTTTTAGTTTTTTGCGTTACCCATTTTACTGTTTTTACGCTACACTAATATTGAAAGTATTCTCAGTAAGTTAAAGCACTAGTAAAAGTTTTCAAAAACTTAGAATTTCCTCACATCGAGGCTAACTAATGTCTTAAAGGAACTTTTGAGATGTAAATAAGATTCCACTTTTTTTATTTTTTATGTTTAATTCTCAGTTTGATATACATAAAATGAGTTCACTTTTTGACCATGAAGTTCATTTTTGAGTCGTCATTTTTCCACTTTTACTTTTATCAATGTTATTTTGTATGTAAATATATACATTGAAATATTCTAACCATATGTTGGAACGTCTGCGTTAGAATGTTTAACTGAAATGTATATACAAATAGAACAATATTGAATCCACAGGATACTGCTCATGTTTCACATTAAAACCATACATTCTTCCATATGATTTACTTTATTTCAATATAAAACGTTTCTGTTAATAATCCCTTTTAAAGGATATAGTGGCCACAAATTCATGGTGTGTTTGTGTGGTTTACATGAATTAGTTGTAAAATTCTAAAAGGCATTTACATTGTCTAAGCGATAAAATAAATGACGTAAGTACGCGTTATACTTAAGTATATAAAAAAACGTTTTCATGGATTATCTAGTTGTTCAAGTAAGAAGTGCGTAATACTAAAGATAAATAAGATAGTTTTAATTCATGACATTGACTGAAAATGCCATCGGTTTATTTACATTATACACTTATACATACATTAAGGTGGCAACGTTTGTTTGGAGAATAAATATGGTCAAAAATAACCTTTTTATTCATTGATCCAGCTCACCAAATATGACTCCAAGACAAACATTTTGAGAACTGGTATTTTTGAATAAACCAAGCTTTCATTTTCTGCGGGAACATCAGCACTTTATTTTTCTCCCTAAACTTGAACTTATGTTTGCATTCCCAGGGTTACTTTGTATAAATAATTGGGAAAATTATTAAGTTAAGGTGTCGGTCCATATATCGAGGTTAGGTTACAGTCAAGCCGACTCACTTGGATCCAGAATTGGTTCCGTAATGATATCCGGACGGATCATACCTTGTCCTACCAATTAGACATCTATGTGGCAAACCTACTTTGGACACGAATTGAATGTTGACATCAGAAAGATCTCCTAATCATAAAAATGAGCTCGGCGCATATGTTAAAGCTAAGGTCGGAGAAAGTAAGACACCGATAAATAAAGAGTTCAACCGTTTCGTATTCATTATCATTGTTGCAGCTTCCGCAGAAGTGATTAAATGAAAGATTCAATCTCATAGCTTGCGCCTGGATCTGTTAACACAACTCTAGTAGTTTTAGTCGCACACGTGCAAGCGAAAGGTAGTCATTTTGACGCTGTGCTTAAGTGTGATGACCCTTGCAGGCTGTACTGGATAGGGACACCCATACCAGAGGGGCTCATGGCGAGCACTTACTAAGAACTAATTCGCTACCGGCAGCTACCTACCGGCAGGAAAGGAGGCAGCTAGCTACCGGCAGGAAAGGAGGATGGGAAACCCAAATCCAATGAATCAAAAGCTGCCAAGGCACTTACCGATGAAAAGTCGGCCAATTCCCCTGTTTCGGGTGCTGCTAAGGCAGTCAACCAGTTGTGAGCAATGGTACTGTGAACCAGCTTTCGGGTACCGTAGCTACACCTCCCCCACCAGTGAATCGGGCGATAGCAAACCCACAAGGCACGTATAACAATTGACCGGTTAGGTAAAGAACCTGCTGAGTCCCTTTCCTCAGATGACTTGTTAAACGCTGAACTGTGCTAAGTCCGTCTTGGCTGACCAACAAATTCTTCCCCTCACGTCGAAAGACGCGCCTAATCTTCAACGTTCGGAGGAGGAGACTCAAGGTCAGTCGCAACAGCCCGAGACCAAGACGTTAAAACCGCATAGGTCGTTTGAGGTAGCTAAGCTATCATCAATCGTGCTGACTCTGATTGCTCCATATCTCATGCAAACTGGAATATGGTGCGTAGAAAGCTGATGGGAGTGTTCTGGAGAGTTCTCAAGGAAAACCCCGGTCCCCCCTCAGTGAAATGATGCTGGCTGGTACCGAGGCCGGGTTAAACTAATGGCCTGCTCAAATGAGCGATCTGCTCAGCTGCTTAATCTGGCGATAGTTCTTTTGGTTGGCCTGTGGGATGGAGCGAAGCTGGATGTGGTCTCTTTTGACGATATTTTACGCCGGCTTAGGTCCACTGCCCTGGTTCCCGACGAGCCAGCGAAACTAGAGGAGATACTGGAGTTACTAAAGATCGGAAACCCTGAAATCCCCATTCATGACTGGAAAGTAGTCAGGGTATCCAAACTAAAGGACACTCCATAAGGATCACAAGCAAATGTTTAGGCAGGGAGAACATTCGTCTGTATGTCTTTCCCCAATAGAGTGAAAGATAATTAAATTAACTAACAACTCAACATTTCACTATTTCTCTCTTTGTGTGCTCATTAGAGGGAAAAATGCAAGCGATCATTATTCCGAATTGGTTATGTTGATGTCTACAAACTTGATGCAATGGATATTCTATAAGCAGAAATAAAGAGAGGTGACATAAGAATAGATCTCTGGCAGTACATTCCAGCAACAGCCGGCAGCCTCGTCGCACGACATCTCTTCCGGAGCCGGGTCTCTGTCATTTTGAACAAATTTGTCCTTGTCGTCACCCCGGTAGACACGGGGAAATATCGACTCGAAGCCGTAGTAGGCCTTTCCACGTCTCTCCCGAAGCGGCGCCAAGGACTCCTTGTTCAAAATGACGGAGACCCGGCTCCGGAAGAGATGTCGTGCGACGAGGCTGCCGGCTGTTGCTGGAATGTACTGCCAGAGATCTATTCTTATGCCACCTTTCTTTATTTCTGCTTATAGAATATCCATTGCATCAAGTTTGTAGACATCAACATAACCAATTCGGAATAATGATCACTTGCATTTTTCCCTCTATTGAGCACACAAAGAGAGAAATAGTGAAATGTTGAGTTGCTCGTTAATTTAATTATCTTTCACTCTATTGGGGAAAGACATACAGACGAATGTTCTCCCTGCCTAAACATTTGCTTGTATTTCTTAAAATGAGTCAGTTGTAAACTTTAATCTTGAGTTCGTCGTCCATGGAACCCAAATTCCTACTGTGAACCAAAGAAATATTTTTAAGGTTACCGTGGACATCTATTTCTTTTCCTCAGATTGTGCCTTTGCAAGAGAAAATGAACGTTTTCTTAATAAAGAAAAATCTAAATGATATCTCCACGAAAAAATGAACATCTAGCAGGCAAAGTAGTACCTAATGGACCCTGTCATAACTAATGTCTGCTGATAGAAGAACACATTTGGACATCAATGCAGAACATCTGGATAATGTCATAACTGTTACAATAACATGGTAGTGGCGTTGTATGGTTTAGGGTTCAGCTCGAAATTCTTGCCTGTACAAGTTTTCTGTATAGAGGTTGTATGACGTATATACATATATAGGTATTATCCTTAGGCCTTCTAAATTGTCTAGCCCATCAAATGTTTAACCTAGAAACCAAAGTATACTTTTTCTATATAACCTCTATTATTATTTATTTTTTAGGCCACATTAAATTGGCGCTCACGAAATCGTGTAGAAAAATGGTTAATGATTACTACAATATTTTTGTCGTTTATAATACTGGGGTTACTAATAATGCTCTTTCAAAATGAAGCCGACAAGACCACAAGGATTCTGCACGTTGAACCGCACAAAGATAGTGAGTTATTGATGAAAAACTTATTTAGTAATTAAGTTTAAGAAACCAATTAATTTTACAGATCCTGAAATGCCATGTTTAAATGAACATTGTATATTCGCCTCAAATGATATATTGAATTCAATTGATCGCTCAGTTAATCCTTGTGAGGATTTCTATGGTTTTTCCTGGTAAGTATTTATCTCAAAAAGAAATTAAGATTTGTTATTTACTGAATTAATTATTTACAGTAATCAATGGATTAAAAATAATCCCATACCAGATGGTAAATCATCCTGGGGTACATTTAGCAATATCGAGCAAAGAAATCAATTGATTATTAAAAATATTTTGGAGAAACCTATGAAAACTTTCGAATCGGAAGCGGAGAAAAAAGCAAAAATCTATTATGAATCTTGTCTGGATCGTAATGATGATTTAGAGAAACTAGGTGCTAAGCCCATGGTAGATTTTCTATGGAAAATTGGGGGCTGGAATGTTACCCATACAGGGTTTAATATAGGAAAATGGAGTTTGGCTAATACGCTAAAGAAATTACAGAATAGGTTAGATTGTTATAAATATTTATGTAAAGCGATAGATTTAATAAATAATATTCTATATTTTAGATACAATATCAATTGTTTATTCGGTTGGGCCATAGGAGAAGATGATAAAAACTCCACACGACATATTATTCAAATAGATCAAGGTGGCCTGACACTACCTACACCGGAATACTATGAAAATCGTACAGAGATACATCGTAAGGTCCTAAAAGAATATATAGAGTATATGACGAAGGTGTGTGTTCTCTTGGGGGCTAATGAAACTGATGCCCGCCGTCAAATGGAAGAGATAATGAATTTTGAAACAAAAATTGCTAATATTACCATTCCACTGGAGGAACGACGCAATGAAGAGGCCATGTATCATCCTATGAAATTGTCAGAGTTAGATGCTATGGCACCTTTTATAAATTGGACTGAACATTTGGATTATGCCATGCAATTGGTCAATCGTCGAATAACACAAAAAGAAGTGGTGGTAGTTTATGCTCCAGAATTTCTTAAGAAATTATCGGTTATAATAATGGATATGCAAAAGACGGTGGAGGGTAGAAAGTAAGTAAGAAAATGTAATAATTTTGAACTCTTTCAATTAATGGAACTACTGTGATTTTCTAATCTAGTACTTTGAATAACTATTTGGTATGGCAAGCGGTACGAGTACTATCTCCCTGTCTCTCACGCTCCTTCCGTGATGCTTACAAAGGCGTGCGTAAAGCTTTAATGGGCTCAGATGGCGGCGAAGAAGTCTGGCGTTTTTGTGTAGCTGATACGGGAAATGTTGTAGGCTTTGCTGTGGGAGCCATATTTGTGCGTCAAGCTTTTCATGGCGACTCTAAACCCGAAGCCGAACAAATGATTAATGAGATAAGAGAAGCTTTTAAGCTTAACATACATAACCTTACATGGATGGACAAAACAACCCGAGCCAAAGCCATAGATAAAGCTGATGCTATATCAGATATGATAGGCTTTCCCGATTACATATTAAATGTTGAAGAACTTGATAAGAAATATGCCGATCTTAATGTCACGGCTAATGCTTATTTCGAGAATAATATACAATCGAATATGTTCAATTTAAAAAAGAATTTGGAAAAACTAGATCAACCTGTTAATAAAACTAATTGGGGCATGGTGCCACACATGGTGAATGCCTATTATACACCCTCCAAAAATCAAATTGTCTTCCCCGCCGGTATACTGCAATCACCCTTCTTCGATATACACAATCCTAAAAGTTTAAACTTTGGTGCTATGGGCGTGGTTATGGGCCATGAACTAACACACGCCTTCGATGATCAGGGAAGAGAGTTCGATAAATTTGGCAATATTAATCGTTGGTGGGATAATAAAAGTATTGAACGTTTCAATGATAAAACCGAATGTTTTGCCAAACAATATGGTTCCTATGTTATAAACGGCAGACATTTGAATGGTAAACAAACATTGGGAGAGAATATTGCCGATAATGGTGGTTTAAAGGCGGCATATCATGCCTTCCTAAAGACACAACTGGATAAGGAGGCGGATGTTTTAAAACTGCCCGGTTTAAATTTAACGCATAAGCAATTATTTTTTGTTTCCTTTGCCAGGGTAAGGGGAAAAATTTAGTTAACAATTTGAAGCAAAATTTGAATAATATAATTTCTTATTTATAGGTCTGGTGCTCCACCGATACCGATGAAACCACAGTATTACAGTTAGAAAAGGATACACATTCTCCATCACGTTTGCGAGTCGCTGGTACGCTCTCAAATATGCCCGAATTTGCCGAAGTATTCCAATGTAAAGTTGGCTCCAAAATGAATCCCGAAAAGAAATGTGAAGTATGGTAAAAAGTTTTTTTTTTAGGTTTTTTGTTAGTTTTAACAATTTTTGTTTGTTGAAGCGAAAGTTAAGGAAATTTTACGAAAGTATATGTTTTAGAAAAAAATAGTAACGGAATTTTTAAAAAAAAACCCTAAAAGTAAACTATGAACGTAGTAGAAACCCCCCAGAAAATAACAAATATTTAAAACAATGTATGTGTGTGATTTATATAATAATATAAGAGATCTCTCGTAAAAGCAACTTTTTTATATAAGTAAACAAAACGATAGAAGTAATAATATTTATAAATAATAATAAATTACTTATTTAAAAGTAAATCAAAATCAACTGGATTATGAAAAACAAAATTAAAGTAATAAAAATTAAATGATACTAGTCATAGAACTCCCCCCTTCCCGTCTCTTTAGGGCAAAAACATATAAATCTTAAAATAAAAAATAATTGTTATTTTTTAAAAAGAAAATTAAGAATTAATAATGATTTTTCTTAAAAATTTAAAAAAAAAAAAATATTAGTATTATTTATAACTACTACTAGTACTACTACTCTAAATGTAACATTTACCTGTATTGTATAATTTTCCTTAAAAACAAATACTTCCAACTTGTAAAAATATCTATTTTTGTACTAAAATTCTAATTTTAACAAAATAGAGAAGAAAAATTCCCGTTAAAAGGAGAACATTTTAAATGATCCATAAATTAAACATAGTCCAAAGAAATTAGTTTTTCTAGTTTGTGCCTAAAATTATTTGAAAAAGGATTTGGGTTCCAGTAAACTTTATGAGATAATAATAATCGATATGCAATCTTTATCAAGAGCTTTTTTGATATGAAATCTTGAATGCTAAAACTTCTACCCCGGATCCAAATTATTGCATTTCAGATCGTATAAAATAAATTGTAAATTTTACTACTTTGAGAGAATGCGATAATTCGATTACAAATCCCTCCATGACAGCCGTTAGTACGATTCAAGGGATAATATCGAAACACATCGTTTGACTATGTTTTATTTTTCATTTAGTATTAAACAATTATGTAACTTTTAGCATTTAAATATATATTTATTTTAATAACAAAATATATTGAGTTTAGTGCAAAAACATATCCTAAAGAAAATGTAAAGAAGATCCAACTTAAACAAAACGTAACAATCTATAAAGTTTCAATTTTTTTTTGTATATAAAAGTGTTAATTACAATTAAAGCGTCAACATATTTTGTAAATTCTCAAACAGTTTGAGATTTATAATATAAAAATTTCGTTACGATATAAGACATTCGATATAGCAAGTCACAATAGCAGCTCAAGGAAGATATATTGATGTTTGCTTAATAACTACATAGTTCAATATTTTACAAACTTAAAAGATCGGTAGATGGATAATACAGACCAAACAACATTTTAATAAAGTTGAAGCCTAAAGTTGAATGAATCCGTATCTGGCTTCAGAATTTCTCCATCACTTCAGGTTTTTGAGATATCGTGTCCTAAAACAACATTTATATTCCTATTTAAGACGCTATAACAGCGCGAAAACACTTTTGTTTATATCATCTTAAAGTCCAATTTGTCGACTTTAAGATTAAGTTTTAATCTCTGTTATATTTCCACATTTTTCGAAATATTTTATAATATCTAATGACTTCATAAGGCCTTCTATTTTGAGGTCCCGAATGACTTTTGGGTTGATCAAATAACTGGAGGGAAAATAGGTTGTATAGCAGGACTATTAATTCCAGTTTTAGGAAACTGGGACTTGGGGGACTCTCATTAAATACAAATTCCTTCTAATGATTCTGATGAAAAGGGATTATCATTGAAAATAAAGAATTAGGCCTTATTTGCCAGACGTTAGTCCAAATTTGAGAAAGTATATCCTTCTATTTTGAGGTCCCGAATGACTTTTGGGTTGATCAAATAACTGGAGGGAAAACATGCTGTATAGCAAGATTATTAAATCCAGTTTTGGTAAACTGGGATTTGGAGGACTCTCATTAAATACAAATTCCTTCTAATGATTCGTTCTTATGATAAGTGTAATCCCTTGTTACGGAAAATAAAGAATTAGGCCTTATTAGTCAGATGGTAAACAAAACCAGACTATAGCCCATCTTGGTTCATGAATTTTCAATGGAAACATGCTATATAGCAGGACCATTAAATCCAGTTTATTAAACTGGGACTTGTAGGACCACCATTAAATAAAAATTCCTTCCAATGATTCTTTCTGGTGATAAGTATAAAAGAGATTATCATGGTTCATGAATTTGGTTTAAGTATGAACACTAAACTTTTGTGGATACTTAAGGCTCGGAACATAATGAGAAAGCCGATAATTTTCTTGATTGGATCTTAAAGTGGATGACTATAAACAGTAGTTCTCCAATATCACTTCCGATCTATTGTTTTCTAATCCATTTGCTCTGATCTATTGTTTTCCTTAGATTTATTGGTCATCGATGAAACACAATACTTTTAGGGTGTATTGTGTTTCATCGATGACCAAAGATTTAATTTTTTTGTTAAATAAGTCCTTTGACAGATTGGTCATTGAAACACAAGACGGAAAGATCGTAAACACAAGACTCTCTATGAAAAATACGCCAATAACTGATTAAATCAAAGTTTTAGTACACAGAAGGAAAAAGAAATATACACGCCTGGTGCCAAATTGACACCAAACTGTTTATAATTTTTCCATACCATCCGTTGTCAAAGTATATACATACGTACGTCAACACAACACTATGTAATGTTAAAAACATTGCAATAATTCGTTCTTGAAATCTGAATTTTATACACATCCGTTGTCTAAATGTTAACATACGTGGTAAGCTCACTATTGACAAACAATCCGTTGCCAATAGTGAGCTTACCACGTTTGTTAACATTTAGACAACGGATGTGTATAAAATTTAGATTTCGACAACGTATTGTTGCAATGTTGACAACGTTTCGTTGCGAGAATTCATTCTTGTTGATACATCTATTGCTGAGTAAACTATCGTTAGATGAGTATGACTCGAGTCGTTTCAAACCGATGATTCAATTCAGTGTTTTGTTAAATCAGTCCTTTGACAGATTGGTCATCGAATCACAAGACGGAAAGATCGGAAACACAAGTCGCTCTTTGAAAAATACGTCAATAAAGGATTAAATCAAAGTTTTTGTGGTCTTACAAGTTCCAATGTACCCGGGAATTCTTCCTTTTTGATACAACTATTACGGAGTTGACTATCGTTAGATGAGTATGACTCTAGTCTTCGACTAGACAAGCATAACCGGGAATTATAACATAAAATTTTTAAGCTTTTTAAGCTTCAGATAGGAACTTATAAACCCTTGAATTTCTTCTGTCGATTAACATTTCTGTATAGTTTCTTTGGCGCAATCGATTAGAATATCTGTAAACTTTCTCTGTCGCTGTCGTTTTAATTGTATTTAACACACTTTAATATACATCTTATAAGTTTTTTATTTTTTATAAAGTATATAATGATTTTTTTATTATATATACATATAATACAATAGCATGATTCTATAATTTCTGTGATTTTACCTAAAACCAAAAAAAAATTATGCATAAATACTAAAGAAAGAAAAAAATTAAATAAAAAATCAATAATATTAAATAATTTATAATGTAATTAAAAAATAAAAAAAAACAAACACCAAAATAATTTGTAAACTATTTTAATAAAAAAAATCCTAAACTTTTAAAATATAACTTGCAAAACCACAAAAAGTAGCAAATGAAGATTAAAAGCTTTCAAAATTAAACAAATTCTGAACTTGCAGCAAACAATGAAAAACGTTTTATAGAAAAAAAAAACAATTTCAGCAGTGATGGCTGGAAGTTCCTAAACTAAAAACAGAATTTAACTAAAACTTTAATGAATAAATTTAAAATTTGGCGAAATTGTTTAAATTTCTTCATTTGCTATTCCTTTTAAAACAGTGGTGCTTTTGACCAAAAAATAAAAAATTATTTTATTTTTACAAAAACATTTTATTCTCAAGAGGCACAATTTTATTTATTTATTTAAACGAATTTATGAATAATATATTTAATATTTAATATATTTTTTTTTTATATAAATGTATGTAATTTTTTGTTGTACTGTATTTATATATGGTTTATAATTAGTTCCTGTTTAATTGTTACACAGAAAAATTCTTTAAGCCAAATATATTTTCTACTGAAAAAGAATAAAATTCCAAATGGGCCAAATGGACCAAATTTTTAAATAAAAAATTCGCTCACTATAAGTAAATGTACTTAATTTGAATGAAATTACTAAAATTGTGAAACGAATAGGCCTTTTCGAAAATCTTGTTAATCCCTTTTTAGAATATATTTGAGCAATGATTTTTTTCTGTGTTAGTTTAATGAATTTATGTAAATTCCTTATTAGCCAAAAAATTATTAAAAAAATATTAATTATATTATAATTTATATATATATATATTTTATAATAAGTATGTATATTTTTAATTAAAAAAAAATAATAAAAATGAAATGTATTGTTTTTTTCTGAATACATGAAATAATAATAATAAAAATCTACAAATATGATATTAATAAATAATATAAGGAAAGATTTTATATATTCTTTAAAATTGTTAGGACAGACAGCAGAAAAAAATAATCAATATGTCTACGTCGTTACCGTTGTGAAATTTCGAAAATCGCTCTAAAATAAACATAAAGACTATAATCGTGCGCGCTCAAAAATATTAACATTTATAAACGTTAACGTTTTCATTTACGTCATTGTCTACAATGTTTACTAAACACAGTCTAACAGAGTGTTTCCTATCAATATTAAAAACCAACTAAATGAACCGTTATTTCAAATAAACGTAGTCTTACAGGGTGTTTCTTTTAAAATTAAAATTAATGATAAAACTAATGTTAGAGGGAACAATCACTTTTATTCATCGGTTTTGCATAAGGCAATTCGAAATTAGGGATAATACATATCATGAGTGCTATATTCGACTGTGCCGAATCTTATATCGGAGGGTCATATTAGGGTTCTATAGTTGAAACGAAAAGTCGACTTTTCGACTTTTTGCATTTTATGAAAAGTCGACTTTTCGCATTTTATGAAAAGTAGATTTTTCGACTTTTTTCATTTAACTAAAAGTCGACTTTTAGACTTTTCGACTTTTAGTATTTTATAAATAGTCGACTTTTTCCGACTTTTCGACTTTTTTCAACTTTTCATCTTTTTCCGACTTTTTTTGATTGTTTCCGACTTTTCGACTTTTTTGACTTTTCGATTTTTCGACTATTTTCGACTTCTTTCGACTTTTTTTCAACTTTTTTCGACTATTTTTTTACTTTTTTCGAGTTTTTTCGAATATTTTGGAGTTTTTGACTATTTTTTTCACTTTTTTAAAATATTCGACTATTTTTGACTTTTTTCTACTATTTTCGAGTTTTCGGCTTTTTCCGATTTTTTTTCCCGACTTTTCGACTTTTTTCAACTTTTTATGACTTTTTGACTTTTTCGACTTTTTTCGATTTTTTCGACTTTCCGACTTTTCGACTTTTATTTGCAAAGTCGAGTTATAGACTTTTTGGAACAAAATAGTCGACTTCGACTTTTTTCGACAAAAAGGCGATTGTTCGAAAGTCGATTTATAGAACCATACGGTCATATACAATATAAATAGATTTTATTAGTATTTGTTAACATAATTTACTAATTAATTACATTTATTCCAAATTTATTATTATTTATTTATTATGGTTCGATCCTTATAAAATTCGTTGCTATACTGACATTTTGAAGGAATTAATGATCGTAATGGCATTTTCTGAGGGGGACCTTATATGGAGCGTAGAGCCAATTATGAACCGATCATATTTGATCACATGATCCTATAAATCCTGGTTATGTCGTTGCTTTACTGGCATTTCGTAAAGCAAGTTCATAGCTTTCTAAGTAGGACTTTATATGGAGGTAGGATCAATTATGAACCGATGCTCATTAAATTTGACAGAGAGATTTTATTGTTCCTATAAATCCCGTCTATTTCGAATTTTGTGGCTATATTGGTAACTTGAGCATATCGAATTTAATCGCCATATTTTCTGAGGGGGACTTTATATAGGGGTAGAATCCATTATGCACTAATCCTTAGCCATTTTCTGAAGAGAAATTTATATGGGGTTAGATGAAATCGTGGAATTTGCTCATTTTCAATACCAGAAAAACTGCATCAACTTAAAATATTTTGTCAAAATTTTAGCCCTCTAGCTTGTTCCATTTGGAATCTAAAGTGTTTTCAGCAGACAGACAGATGGATGAATATGGCTATATCGTCTTAAAATCAAATGGGGTCCCATAATATATAGTTTTATGGGTCTTAGATCAATATTTCGATGTGTCACAAAAGGAATAACAAAATCAATATACCTATGTCGAATCTGAAACACATCCCTGTCTAATTTTACCCATTTATGTAAGTGATTTTCGAACAATGATACTATATGGAAGCTATGAACAATAATGGGCCAATCCGAACAAAATTTCGAAGAATGATTTATCGATCATACGATTTGAATATTTATTGTAGACTAATCCGGAAAAAAATTTGCAGAATGATTTGAATACTATAGCGACATCTCTTTTTGTCAATGTATGTGACCATTTAAGTTATTTTCAGAAGTGGACCTTCTATGAGTGTTATGACCAATTATGGACTGAACCGAAAAATATTTTTCGGAGTGATATACATACATATGTATGTATGTATGTATAGTATACATTGTATACACAAGACACATTTATTACTCTGATATCTTTGTTTCTTAATAAAGTATGTTCATTTAAGTGATTTTCGGATGAGGAACTTATACAAGAGCTATGACCAATTATGCACCGCTACAGATCAAGGTTAATAATATGATGTCTATTGATATTATATTAACATCTTTACAATTTTGCGATGATAATAATATTTTGGAGGGAGTTATTAACGATAAATCCACTTTCGAAATTATTTACCTTTGTCAATAAACTGATTGAAACCAATTATTTTTTTACAACTTTTAGATATAAATAATGATGGCGGCTTGCTGAGATAGTGTTGTGAATTAGTCTATTGATTAGCCTACAATAATATATATAACAGAACCTAGCCCCAACATAAGGCCCCTATACGTGATTCTCCTACGTAGGGTATAATATGGTCCAGAATACCTAACTATAATTTCTTACTTGTATTTTAGTATGTTTAATTATGT